TGCTGAATGCGTGTGTGTGTGTGTGTGCGTGTGCACGCAATTTCTTTAAAAGAAAAAAATAGATGCATATACAGGCACGTCTGCTTCATAATACAACATAAAAGCTATCTTTTAGTGAGCAAACGTGCCGCCCTTGCCTTGTGATGGCTTGGAATGCCAAGAGGAATCGGATATGCGTGTTTAGACATAGGTCGCATGTCCAGATAGCGCATATGTATCTGATTTAAAACCACATTTGGAAGTGGCCCAGATCGGATGCGAAAAAATCTAATCTTGTGCGGATTTTTGTGTTTACACGTGTGCAACAAATTCCGATCTGTGTCAGATGTGAGCAAAAAATCTGATTTGTTTGTGCCAGTGTAAACGCAGCCCTGGAGTACCACCAGCACTGCACATTTTGTATGTCTCCCTATATCTGACACACCCATTACAGGTCTTGCAGTCTCTACTAATGAGCTCATGAGTTGAATCAGGTGTGATAGATGAGGGAGAGTGGGAGACATACAAAATTTGCAGGGCTGGTGGTACTCCAGGACAGGTTTGAGAAGCACTGATCAATTTGATTTGATGGCATTTAATTTTTTAGATTTTCATTCCTTTACTACGGTGGCCGAGAAGTGCAAAACAAATCACAATTCTGAAAACAAAATAAATTACAAACGCAAATGCAAGTCTAAAAAACAAAATAACAATTCAGAAAACAACAACAATTCAGAAAACACAATGACAAATTCGAAAACAATACAACAAGTCAGAAAACACAACGACAAATCAGACAAACCGGAAGAGGTAGGTATAGTTTGAGACAGCGCCATTGGTTTGGGATTAGATTTGAAAAGGGAGGAAAAAAAAGTTCGGCAAAAGGCGGGATCGAACCCGGGTCGATCGCGCCAAGAACACGCACTTGTCCATCTGCGCCACTGGAGCTGATGATTTATAGTCACTTTTAACTAAATGTAAATAAAACCCCGTATTTTTTATTCCAGAGTAAGGGCAGTTTATACAATACATTTAAACTGAGCTACTTTAATACCATCTCCGAACTTTCTACCACGACTCTGCTGTTCTTCGGCTGGTTCTTCCCTGTATACGTTGATTGACAGATGTCTCGTCCAGTCAGCGGTGAGTAATTCCAAACCAATGGCGCTGTCTCAAACTATATCTACCTCTTCCGGTTTGTCTGATTTGTCGTTGTGTTTTCTGACTTATGTTTTCTGAATTGTTGTTGTGCTTTCTGAATTGTTATTTTGTTTTTTAGACTTGCATTTGCGTTTGTAATTTGTTATTTTGTTTTCAGAATTGTGATTTGTTTTGCACTTCTCGGCCACCGTACTTTACACTCCTGAAACATTTTTTAAAGGTTGTATTGCTTTAATTTATTTTGTTTTCAGAATTGTGATTTGTTTTGCACTTCTCAGCCACCGTACTTTACACTCCTGAAACATTTTTTAAAGGTTGTATTGCTTTTGTTCTTTTTAGCACACTTTTACTTTTTTAAATGAACTTTGTGGTTTAATGTGGCAACATCAGTCTGACAAAACAACACAGATAGAAACAAGAGGAGAGCTCACTGACCTATATGAAGTCCCACTGAAAGTCGATTAGGCTCTTCAATAGTGTGGAGACATGTGCATTCACTGTGGAGAATTTTTTCTAAACAATCGCCCCTGTCCTCTTCGAGGTAACCTTTCCCTGGGTGGCCTTTGTGCCTTTTTCAGGATTGATGCCAATGAAGCACCTGAAATTACAATCGTCAGAGACTGAATGAAAAACTACAAGGAACACCTTGTAAACTTAAAAGGGTAGTTTGGGTTTTGCACATTGTTAGTAACTAGTACTGACATCATGAGGTATTTTGTCAAATTTGGCTGCCCGTTTTTCTATATCTAGGAAGTAATTTACTTGTTAAAAACTACAAGTGTATTACTATGCACAGGAGACAGTTCACGTATTATGCCTCTATTCAAGCTTATATGCAGTGTGATTTGAAAATCATCTCCACTGCAGTAATAATCTGGCATAATAAAAAAAAAAAAATCAAGATGCAGTGAGATGCATGATCAGACAAAGGCATCAAGCAGCTCATGTATTTCATTTGTATTGTTCAAGCAACTGTTTTCCCCTCTCTGATGTGTATTTTCAAATGAGAATAAAAGGACTTCAAGTTCTTACACTTTTCCCTGCAGAAATCGACATGACATGTCAGTTCAACTTCATGACACAACCTAGGCTTAACCACAGATTTGCCATGTCTGTAAATGTGACACCTAAAAGCTGGAAAAGACCCACTGCAATCTGGCAAAGCACACTTAAAAATTAAATTAGGTGTATTTTTATGAATTCTCATGTGCTTTACATAAGCCAATACTGTGGCACAGTTATGACCACAGGCCTGACAGGAGAACATTTTTGCTGTCAATTTGAAGAAAGAAATAAAGCAGCATACGCGATTGCCATACAATTGCTCAAGGCAGTCAATTCCATGTAATCAACATTTTGAATAAGTGTTTACACTAAACATCCTTTGATATTCGACTAAAAAACGTCCGAAAGAAGGCAAGTATAATGGCTGATTTTGGTTACAACCCGTATCAATCTTCGCACCTAAATTTCTAACCGCAAATCAAGTTATCATAATATATGTTTTTGCTGTAGATATTAAACACTAACACTGTTCTCCTTTTAAACATATATGCCACCTTTAAACTTGCATTAAATAATCGACATTTCATACATCAAGTTTGTTTAGTGATTTGTGTGTAATTTGAAGCCATTAACAACGGGCAACAGATTGTTAACTGTCCAGTTTTCAACAACGACTAATCTTAAAAGTTTAGAGATGATCTAAAACAAACTTGATAAAACCTGGTGACTGTAAAATGCGTGTAATGTTTGAATTAACGTTACTCTCATTTCAGCGCTGAAGAGACATTTTAAAATGGATCAAATCTGGTGACTGTAAACTGCGTGTATATGTTTGAATTATTCATACATTTTAGCGCTGAAGAGACGTTTTATAATTGATAAAACCTGGTAACTGTAAATGCGTGTAAATATATGTTTGAAATATTCACATTTTAAAACCATACACTCACTAGCTAACATTACTTATGGTAATACTACCTGAATAAAATACTGGTGAGGAATATAAGAAAATGTTTTTACAGTGTAGGTGCAGATGCAGGTCAATGCAGTTGAAGGACTTCGGATGGCGAATTGCGATGTATAGCAGATGTCCTTCGAACTTGCATCCTCTTCAGGAAAAAAGTGCTTTACAAATGACGTTTGTAAAAAAAATTGCCATCACAAGTACCTGACTGAAAATTATTTTGGATGCTTGAAAATTGCAAATTACTTTGACCAAACTTGTACTCGCACTTGTACACCCAATTAAAAAATATATATATATAAAAATACTGCATTGTACTGTATTTAACACAGCCCACAATGCATTGCAAACAGTAAAAAAACTTATTTCTTAAATACAGTGTAGAGTAATGTTAAAAAATAGCTGTAAATTAACAGCAATTTCTTCAATGGCAAAATATTGCCCATAATGCATTTATGCTTTTTTTCTACAGTACATTACTGTTTTAATGGAAAACAGTATGTTACTGTCAGATTTTGGTCGTTTTTTTACAGCAATTTTTTACAGTGCAATGTTGATATTTCAAATCACCAAAGCAAACACGCCCCTACCCCAAAAGGGTCTCGCCCCTATTTTGATAGCTCCACCCAGGCAACGATTATGGCAGAATCTGCTGTATTAAACGCATTATCTTACTTTTCGGACACCCTTTGGGAGCTGACGCTTGAAACAGACCGTGAAGGAGGTTTAGACGCTCCAGGCTTATAGGGCGTGGAAACGAATGTGTCTTTGTCATAGGCATAGCTGAAGGGAACGACAATACGATTGCAGATGAACAAACAAGCGAACATGACACACGAGCATATTCAAGCAAAAGCCAGCATATATTAGTTCTGTGAAACAAAGCAAAACCAATGTTACTCACCTATCGAGAAGAAACACAGCAACCTCGGCGTCCGATCGCAGGCCTTCCGCTCCTTGAGTTCTCTCCAGCGCTGGAAAGCTGATCTGATATTTACACGGGTCCTACTTCTTTCCTTATTGCCTTAAGCCTTATTTTGTTCTGCAGACGTTTTCCTCTTTTGTTTTTTTTATCTGTCATCTCTATCTTTCTGTCGTCGCTCGGCTCGGCTGTACATGTCCGTCCTGTGCACTGAACGCTCTCTCCTCCACATCATGAGTAGACACGCCCCTTACTGCTGATTGGCTACAAATTTGTTTTGCTACTTGGCCCGAATCAGTTTTCTAAAGTGTTTTTGAAAAAATACATACCCCACCTTTAACCATTACACTGATTGACACTTTGAACATTTGTTATAATGAAGGGTATTTTAATTTGAAAAGTGTAATTGAAACCAGTATATGATTCACAAAGGGCCTGTTTACACCTGGTCATTTCATGTGTTTTCGCTGATCGGATATCTATCTGATTTGTTAAAACGTTTCCATTTACACTTGGCCACATACTGTACATGTGTCGACTCGTCGCATAACGGATATAAATCCGATCTTCAATTCCTGCGCTATATTTAAATTTAATGGAGTTCACGTCAACAAAATCAAAAGATAAGCGCTGCGTTTTATTAATTATCAGCTCATTTCAAGATCAAAGACCGCAATAGGAGAGCGCGCGGCATCAGCACTGGAAAGAAAAGTTTGTCTTACTACTTTTAATGAAGAATATTGTGTGTTGACTGTCTGCATCTTACTTTCAGTTTCATTCACGGCAGTTTGTGCGTCAGAGCCTAGAAACGGCCCTGGATCGGAGGGCATTTACACCTGGTCTTTTCACGATCGGATAGCTATCCGATCAGACAAAACGCATGAAGTGACCAGGTGTAAACAGCCCCATATTGTCTTAATACAATGAATGTTTCACATTCTGTAATTTATGTCAAATCTGTTCTCACAGATCCTCATACTGGACCATTTCACCACGCGCCTCCTCTCCTCCTGCTGCAAAATGTCCGACCTCATGTCGGAGGGCATCACAAGTAAGTAAAAGAAGAGATTTTGCTCCAGTTCTGTTGTATATCATGTGTGTTAGACAGAAATCCAGCTGTCTGCCGATTCGATTTTAACTTCATAGTGTAGTGAGAGTTGGACGCTCTTCCTTCCTGTGTTTTCCAGAAGGGAAGCTTTTCGTTTCCTCCATGTCAAGCAAAAGAATAGACATGTGCTGGATGGGGAATTATTGTCATAACGTGTTACCTCTCATTTGTTCACAGTTGTGGAGGACCTGCACAAAAACAGAGAACCAGTTCCAGAGATGAAGGCCATCTATTTCATGAGACCCACTGCCATGGTCAGAGCTCAGGAGACACAAATAATACGCATAACATCTCTTACTTTACTGTGCTGATCTGTTTGTGACCCGGATGTTTTATATTTGCAGTGTATTGATGCATTTATTAATGACTTCAAACCGAAACCCAAATACAAAGCTGCCTATGTCTTCTTCACTGACTGTGAGTTCACTGATATGATTATCTCAAAAGTGGAATGGATTGTGTTAGTGCTGTCAAACGATTCATCGCAATTAATCACATCTAAAATAAAAGTATTTGATTACATAATGTATGTGTGAACTGTATATTTATTATGTTTATATAAATACACGCACATACAGTATATATTTTGAAAATATTTACATGCATGTATTTATATTCCTGTAATTTATATATATATATAATACAAATTTATTTAATATATAAACATAACATATTTTTCTTAAACATATGCATGCATGTGTGTGTATTTATATATACATAATAAATGTACACACACACATACATTGTGTAAACAAAACGTTTATTTTGGATGCGATTAATCACGATTAATCGTTTGACAGCGCTGTGTTATTTTCATCAAGAGTGATGTTTTCATTACTTTTGTATCAAACTGGCCACAGACTGTCCTGATGATCTCTTCGACAAGATGAAGAAGAGCTGTGCCAAGCACATTAAAGTGTGTAAAGAGATCAACATCTCGTTTCTGCCACTGGAAGCACAGGTGAGTATCTGGAGATTCGTTTAGCCTGTTATGGCTGAGAGTTGTGTTGTTTATGACTGTGTGTGTTGTATGGGTCACCTGTGCAGGTGTTCAGCTGTGATAACGCAGAGGCCTTCAAGAGCATCTACACTCCGAACAGTCAGGACAGAGATCAGACGCTGGAGACGATAGCTGATCAGATCGTAACGCTCTGTGCCACGCTGGACGAGTATCCTGGAGTCAGATTCAAGAAGTACAGTCAGCCTGCTCTTACTCTCTTCACATGTGCTCAAAGTTACACCTGGTGCTTGAATGGAGCTTTAATCTAGGTTTCTGTAATGAAGTTTCTGTTCTATGTAGAGATCCGAATCTTAATTATGGCAAGAAGTTGGCTGAACTTGTGGATAATAAACTGGCACGACATTATGAGTTGGATGATAATTCAAAGAAAAAGGTGAGAGCTGTTGAGTGTTTATAACAACCTCACATTACAGCGTATCTGATTGATATGGTATTTATTAATATATTTATTTGCTCTGAAATGGATCGCAGCAATATCTGTTTGGTTGAAAATCTAAGTAAATTCAAATGTTTAAAGCAAGAAATAAAATACAGTACAAAATACATGGGAATTAATAAAAAAAAAATTTAATTGTAAAAAAAACAAAAAACAAAAGTTAAGTGGCTTGTTCAGTGCTTTCAATTCCATTAAAGGGGTCATATGATGCTTTTTTAAAGATCATTATTTTGTGTATTTGGTGTAACATAATATGTTGACATGCTTTAATGTTCAAAAAACACATTACTCTGCAGGTTCAGGAAACAGTCCTCCATAAAATGTGTCACACTGCGTCACACACTGCGGGCTAGAGTGAGCGGCGGCCGGTCGGCCTAGAGAACGGCGCTGCCGGCGGATTCGACGAAGGAACATTTGGGTGGCGTTATGCTAATCTTCCCACATCGTGATGTAGACATGTGGGGGCGTGTTAGAACAAGGCGTTTTAGG